CCTCCAACAACCACACCCACGCCCCAACATCACCCCCACCTCCACAAACACACACACCTTAACACCACTCACACACCCTCCACACACACACACCCAACACCACTCACACACCCCTCCACACACCCCAACACCACTCACACACCTCCACACACACACCCCAACACCACTCACACACCTCCACACACACACACCCCAACACCACCCACACACCCCTCCACACACACACCCCAAACACCACCACACACCCCTCCACACACACACCCCAACACCACCACACCTCCACACACACCCCAACACCACACACCCTCCACACACACCCCAACACCACTCACACACCCAACACCACCACACACCTCCACACACACACACCCCAACACCACTCACACCCTCCACACACACACCCCAACACCACTCACACACCCTCAACAAGGAATTAAGACAGTAAACATGTGGAGTGAGGGTCTTGTGTGACAAATTTGGTGGCGTGATCATGAAGTTGTGAGTTAAATTTCAACTTTTGGTTTTGGACATTCATTTTCCACTCCATCTCTAATTACCCACACCTCTGCTTTCTCCTCCATATTTTAAAATGTTATGTAACATAATGTTGAAGGGATACAACTTTGCTACTTATACTTATCATGATCTCCCTAATTTAAGGTTTGAGTTTATTCAAGACATCTTCAGGTCATGAGACCACTAATCACTCCACCCAAGGGGTGACCTGACATTCTATCAGAAAGTCAGTAATATGAGACCACTAATCCCCCACCCTACCTCCAAATGACACTGAGTCAGGTCAGGTCCCCCAAAATACTTTAGCTTCCATCTTTATTCAAGACACTTTTAGAAATGCTCTTGATTTTCAACCCAGGAATTTTTTTTCCCAAACCTGGAAATTTTTGGATAATTCCGGCTTAGGGAATGATTTTCCGGGCAAATTTCAATTCCAGTTACAGGGGGTATTGGAGATTTCTGGGTTTGAGGGATTCCGGGTAACGGAGATATTACTTGTACTGTATATATAATACACTCACACACACAATTGTGTGTGTGCACATGTATATGTGTGCATGTATGTACATGTGCATGACTGTGCATGCATGCATGTGTGTGTGTGTGTATGTGTGTTCTGTACAACCATGAGTAAAATATTAGTAGAATAATCTTACTTGAGTCTCAGCCCTGAGTGACAGCTGTGAGTCTGGCTACCACCTCACCCAGAATTTCTTCTCCTGCTTCGTTTCCAGGTGTTCCAGGCAGTTAATTAGCAGGCATTCACCTTGATGGTAAAATATGCTTAAACCTGATGGAGATTGGTAAAAAGACAGCTATAAGTCATAAGAACATTTTGTGATTGACAAATATAAAGATTGTAAAGACTGAACTATGCTATTACTAACAAGACAGTGACAAGTTCTTTAACAATTCTACTGTACTGGATTGTATAGCATAGTACAGTATAGTAAATGCCAAATATTAGTCCATTGGTCATCCATGGATACAAACAATTAAATAACAATAAGTTATGGGGTTCTCGGCTTGTCAGACAGGAGAATTATGCATAACTAAAACTTCATCAGATTTATAAATTAAAATAATGATATATTTTACAGTAACACTGTACAGTATCCTGCTACACTGTCCGGCATGTCCTGCTAACATGTTAACTATCAGTGAACAAAAGATAATAATGGGTCAATAAAGTGTTGACAGTTAATATACTTGTAGCTTCTGCAAATGACTCCCTAGTGCCCAATAACACAAGCCAGCAGCTCTTCCGTCTGAGTAAATTTCTGCACTAAATGTTCTTATCTCAGTTCCCATTCAACAGGAAATCCACTGTGAATGGCTAAAAGCATAGTCATCTAGTGGTTTTATACAAAATCACACTACCTGGCTTGGCCAAGCACTGGCGTGTTCAGGCAACAACACACCTTCCACACTACTTGTGCCTGCAGTGCACACCACACATACACCATGACCCCCCATGCACACACACACACTTCTCATTTCAGCATCCAGCTCCCAGTCTGTGCACATATGCTGGGCTGACCTGTGGTATGCAGTTATTGTAGTGGTGGTGGAATGGCTTGGAAGTGGGGGCTGGTATAGTAGTGGTTTGGTAGTGGGGTTTGGTATATAGTAGTGATGTGGTAGTGGCAGGAAATGGGGCTGGTGTAGTAGTAGTGTGGTAGTGGGGTTGGTGGGAGACAGCATGATTGTATTAAATGCTCTGGATATGAAACTTACCCTTGTAGTGGCTTAATGGTCCAACCAATAACACTCTTGCAGGGTGCAGCAAAGATGACTGCAGCTGTTGCCTCCTCAACTACCACCACAGAGTCTATAGAGATGCCTACTACACAGTCCACCTGAAAACAGATATACAGTATTATATATATATATATATATATATATATATATATATATATATATATATATATATATATATATATATATATATATATATATATATATATATATATATATATATATATAGTGATATATATTATAACAGGCTCTAATTAGTTTCTGAGCACTTGTTAAGTTATAGCATTAGATTAGTTATAGGGTTAATCCTTTCTGAGCCCCAAATACAACCATAACACTGAAAAATATAATAAAATTGTAAAAATTGTAAAAAGTACATAAATATGCATCTAAACCCTGAAATAAAGAATATCATTAATACTTGTAATAAAAAACAATAAATTATTAAAAAATAAATAAAATTTTTAAATAATAATGTTTAGATTTAGGAGTTTAAGGTTATAGCATTCTCAATTTTATATGTAAAACCGTTAGTTATAGGGATATTACGTTAGTAAGATCCGTTGGATATAGCATACCATGCATTCTCATTCAGTACCTTGCCAGAACAGGACTTTCACTTTCTAAGTGCATCTACTCATATCAGGGGTGAAGTATAATTTTTTTTTTTTTTTTTTTAGCTCATAACTCATACAAGTACCTGGCCAGAATATAATTTACATTGCTGGAATTCTTGCAATATGATGATCATTTGAATATAAACATCATGGATTTTGCATTAGACATACAAATTTTAGATCTAATGTAATAATTTGGTTTTACACAAAGCAAATATTTTATCTTTTGTGCAAAATATAGGAAGTTTACATTCAAAATATTCTGACCTGCAAGGAATCCAGAAATGTCAATTATATTATCCAAACTTTAGTCTGAGGTATTATATATTACTATATGTTAAAATCTAGTGTTTTCATCCAAACATTTCTCAGAGGTAGGAGCCAGTGAGCTAGGAAAGGGGAGGAGTTTAGTCCATTATTTGAGTGGACATTAACCTGGCGACTGTATTTCTCTTAAATATTTATTGTGTGAGCATACCATCATAAAATTAAGATGTTATTTTTACTGCAACATAGGTATTGTGTCGGAAAAAGTGGAGTTTGGGGGTCGGGCCAGTCTCTATTGGAATTAATCCAATATGTTCTGTTGTTCACTTTACGCGGTTTTCACTTTCCGTGGTACCCTGTGGGTTCAATTGACCGCGTAAATTTACTACTGTATATACAATCTGCGCGGAATGTTAGATCGTGTGCTGAAAAAATATTGATATTTACGATTATGTTATATAAATAAAGTCAAGTAACACTTACCACTTCAATTAATACTTTGTAGTGTTTCCTCTGCGCTTCAGACAGTCTTTTTAGCCGAGGAACACTGTCAGCAAGGTTTTAAGAGGTCAGGTGGCAAATTAGCGGGTATCCTGATGGCTGCCTCTAGCTTAGGATTGATGATGTGTCAGCGTCGCGCAGAGCGATGTAACAATGGACCACAAATTTTTCTGTGGGTTAAGATCTGGGCTACTGCCAGGCCAGTCATTAAAAAGGTACCTCAGATCTTTGAGCCACTGTGTGTGCACAGCAGTGTGGCATGGGGCGCAGTCCTGCATGAAAAAGAGCTTGCCTTGGTTTTATCAAATGATTCAGGTAAAAATCACTGAGCAGTTCAAGATAGTTGTACTGATTCATTATCTGGTTCTTAGGGAGGTTACTAGTTCACCAACACCATAATCGTAAAAGGCCCAAACCATAAGCGGGGCAGGGTGCTTAACAGTCTTTACAGTGTACTGTGGGAGGTCTGGCGTCTGAGTGGGGGGGGCAGTACACCCTCCCTCCATTACTCCCAGTCACAGAAAAGGTAGCCTCATCCGACCATAATACACTCCTCCATGTCTCTAAATCCCACACTTCATATTTCTTGCAAAAATTCCACTCTATTTTCCGTCTGTCTCTTTGTCAACAGAGGGTTTATGGTTGAACATAATCTTAAATCCCAGGTCATCGGTGCAGGGCTTGTTGAACACAACATAACGAGACTGACTCAAAAGCGGGGGTTCTCTCTTTCACTTCACGTGCTGTGGTGAGGATTGGACCGACAGTCGAAAACCTTAAGTGTCGTGGAGACAATAATTTAAGCCTACCAGACTTAGGTAATGGGAGCTGGTAACTCTCGTCCTCTCTCAAGGTCACGGAAGCGTTTGACAAGATTTTGAACAACTCGTAATGCCACACCAGTCTGAGCGATATCTCTCAGTACATGGTTTAAGCACATTGCAATAACTGCTGCAATATAGTCTCTTGTAGTAACCCTCCTGGACATCTCTGATGGCCACTATGTCGAGTTAATGCACCTTAAACTAGACAAAAGCGTGGCCACGGCGGCGGGAACCCGCACAATAAATATTCCCCTCACAGCAGCCAGGCGCACTGACTACAAGCCGTGGCGTGTTCTCAGTTGCCGTCAGCACTTGCCAACAAACCAAGGTTTTGACATCTACATCCCAGGACAGGCTTCACAACATATGATCTTATTTTGCGAGAACTTGGTTAGTCGGGCCCTATCGCGACTTAACATTCCGCCAAGACTGTATATGTGTGTGTGTGTGTGTGTGTGTGTGTGTGTGTGTGTGTGTGTGTGTGTGTGTGTGTGTGTGTGTGTGTGTGTGTGTGTGTGTGTGTGTGTGTGTGTGTGTGTGTGTGTGTGTGTGTGTGTGTGTGTGTGTGTGTGTGTGTGTGTGTGTGTATATATATATATATATATATATATATATATATATATATATATATATATATATATATATATATATATATATATATATATATATATATATATATATATATATATATATATATATATATATATATATATATATATATATATATATATATATATATATATATCAGGTCACCTCTGTATATTTAAGCTCTCTCTGTCCATGTAATTCAGTTGCTCTGAAGATGTCTTGAATAAAGACTAAAGCTAAGGTGTCTGTTTCTTTCCAGTGTGAATTTATCGCTGATCAGCTTAGCCCAGCAATCGCCATGACTGTGTGTATATATATATATATATATATATATATATATATATATATATATATATATATATATATATATATATATATATATATATATATATATATATATATATATATATATATACAGTCATGCGCCGGTTAACGTCCTAGATACGTTCTTGGAAACATGACGTTAACCGAAATGGACGATATCCGATCACCACATAAACTTTTTATTTATACTTATGTGTATGTGGAATACTAAATACATACATATACACTTTTACTCTTAAATCACTACTGTAATGTGATACAGGTGATTAATTTTTATCTCTTGTGCAAAATACATGATGTTTATATTAAAATTATTCACTGTTTTACAAGGATTCCAGCAACGCCGAGCAGATGGGGGAGAGAGAGGGTGCGAGGGGGGAGGGGAGGTAGTACGTTTGACAGTTGGCACAGGCCCAGGTCTAACGCGTGTATATTTATCAGTTCTTAGGTGACAAGCTTCTCTCTTATAAAAATCCAGTGAAATGACCTGGGTGAATATAATTAACATAGCTGGGATTCTTGTAAGATACTGATTTATTTGAATATAAACATGTTGTAATTCGCACTAGACATAACAATTTTAGTACCGTAATCAAATTAGTACATGTGCAGTCCAGCTTTGCACTAATTTAATTTACGTTTATTTTAGTATGGTGTGCGAATGTAAATGGGTGAAAATAAATGAAGAAATTTATGTAAATCTACCTAAAAATACAGTCGAAAATTTTTTATAAAATGTACTACAGTATTGTACACTAATGTACTACATTTTTTACATCTTGAGCAAAATATATGACGTTTATATTCAAATTAATCTCTGTCTTGCAAGGATTTCAGCAATGCAAATTATATTATCGTAACTATAGTCTGAGATATTATATAAAATAAACATAAAGAAATCACCAGGGTGGGAAGAGGGGGCGGGAGGAGAGGTGACAGAATGTCTGGCGTTTGTTTGTTTATTTATTTGAGATAATAAGATTTGACAGTTGGCGCTGAAGGCCTGCCTGCGTGTTTATTTATCATTACATAAGAGTGGCTAAGCTCTTCTCATAATTTTCCACCCAAACGACCTGGGTGAATATAACTTACATTGGAGGGATTCTTGTAAGATAGTACAGTGAACCCTCACTTTACGCGGTTAATTCAACCCACGGCGGGCCGCGTAAAGTGAGAAACGCGTAAAGTGAACAACATAACATATGGGATTAATTTAAATAGAGACTGGGCCGACCCCCAAACTCCACTTTTTCAGACACAATACTTACGTTGTAGTAAAAATAACTTCTTAATTTTATGATGGTATGCACACACAATTAATAATTAAGAGAAATATCAATAATATTAGGTTTTTTAACACTTACATTAGTAGAAAATATGGCTGGGCACACGGGGATGGGGGGTTGGTTCCAAGGCAGAGGGCAGATTATTGGCCCTCACCTGTATCATTTGTATCAATTGTATCACTATCCACCACAGAGGCTTGCAGGGCCTCTTTGTCAAACCCCACAAAGTCCATATAAGTCCATATCCTCACTATAATTATCACTATCACTGACTTGGGCCGGCTGTGGTGGGTGGCGGGTGAAGAACTCGGTAATGTTTTGATGACTGGGCGACCTTGTGCGCACCCTGCTCGCGCCGCACTCCGCGTAAAGGGGTACACGCACCTTGGAATGTGAGCATTCCGGTTTCGGCAGGGTACCGCGTAAACGTGGAAACGCGGAATGTGGGACCGCGTAAAGCGAGGGTTGACTGTAATTTATTTGAATGGTTTTTTTTTTTCAATTTAAATTTTAATTGTTTATTCCTTGATAGAGGAAGTGGGATCCTAGTGCTGTCACTTGGTACCCCTGTACCATAACACCAGAAGCAACTGGCCAGTGTCACAAGTATATACAGTCATCCCTTGGTTATCGCGCCTAATTGGGACCCCGCTGATAACGAAAGTACAGAACCTATGGGATTTATTCTAATTAGTTCCAGGCACCCAAGACCCAAGTTTCCCATTTTACGACCATTTATACCCACTTAATATATATATAATGTTATGGTAAATATCTTAAACACACATAGGCATGGCTAGGCTAGGTTTATTACAAAGTGATGAAAAGGGTACGCTTAATACTGTAGTCCACAAAACATGTAGCTACAGTGGGGTATGCTATAACGAACGTAATTGGTTCCAGAACCTCGTTCGTTATAGCATTCGTTCGTTATAGGATTAATCCGTTCCAGGCCCCCAAATACAACCACTTAACACTGAAAAAATTCTGTGGAAAATGTAAAAAATACAGTATTTTATCTTACCTTAGTGTTATTCAGCATGCAGGTACCCCTAAACACTGGCACATCACTATCACTTCCACTGGGAGTCTTGGCTTTAAGGTCCTCAAACAATTGTTTAGCCTTCTCACAAATTATAGCTTCACTAATGTTACCACCTGCCATTTCTTTCTCCTTTATCCACACTAAGAGTAAATTTTCCATCTCTTCAATCACATTACACCTTGCTTTGCTAAGTCTAAAGATTCCCTTAGCCACTTGCACAGTTTTTAACTCCTCTTTATTCTTCAAAATCGTACATATAGTCGATTTAGCCATCCCATACATCACTAAGTTTCGCAATGCTTCTTCCATTCTCACGTTTCTTTATAATTTCTTAATTAGTTTCAAGGGTTATTAGCTTTCTCATTCGCTTTGGACGATTCATTGTTACAATTGTATACATGTATAACAAAATAGTTATACAAATAACGCGAATTTCCACATCAAAAGACGAAATTTCAACAATAACAGTGGTGCACTGGCTACACAATGAGACAAAGATGGCGCCTGACGCTCTTGTTGTGGGTCGGGGTACAACAATATTCATGCGCCAGGCGAAATAGTCCCGTATTCATCCGCGTTTGTTGTAGGAGTTGCGTTCGTTATAGCATTCTCAATTTTATAGGTAAAACCGTTCGTTATAGGAATATTCGTAGTAGGATCCGTTCGTTACAGCATACCCCACTGTATGCTTTTTTATTTGGTCCCCCGTCATACGAGTCCGATTCTGTAACATCAGGACGCCTGAGTCCTCCGTTGTCTCTCTTAATCTTAGAGTGCACCAGAAACTTTACTATTTTTAGTAATGCCACAGAATTTAAAATTGCAACCCCAATTGCAACTGGGGTTGCAATTGTTGAGGCAACTAGATATGTCTGATTACAGCAAATGTGTTATTGTCAATTTGTAGGTGAAAGATTTTATCCTCAATAGATGTAGGTTAACATTTCACCTGTAGGCAAATGCTTAGAAAAGCCTAAGTAAGGAAGCATATTCCTTTAACACATAATATCTGACCAGTATGGGGAGGGTCATCGTGTCTCCATCAGGGGGTCGTGGAGTGGTTATTGAACCAGTCTGAAAATATTTCTCTGGTTACCCATGCTTTCTTGTTGGCATAATAATGCACAGGTAAATTGTGTACACCTTTCATACATCTTGGTCGTCGGCTTTTTCCAATCACTGCCAACTTTAACTTGTGTGCCTGCAGCATTGGCACACTCAAGAACAGTCAACCTGTCCTTAGCATCCTTAACACCTGTTGGTGCTCTCTCATCAGCGGTTGTTAACGTTTTTCTAGGAACATAGCGCCAGTACAGAGCTGTTTCATCAGCATCGTAAATTTGTTCACGACTAAGGTTTTCATCAGATATAATTTTGGCAAATTCGTCAATGTAATGTTCAGCTGCTTCATGATCAGCAGAAGCTTTATCACCACAGATTTTCAGATATTTTATACCATGACGCTTCTTAAATTTCTGCAGCCAACCTTCTGAATATTCACACTCACCATCAATGTTCAGTTCTTCGTGGTGTATTTTACCTTGTTTCATGACCATCAAACCAGTCAGTGGAATACCTTCAGTTCTTCGTTGTCGAATCCACTCAATCAGCACGCGGTCAAGATCTTCATTTTTTGCCCTATGCAATGTTTTTCTGTTTTGCATTATTAAGGGGTCATCACTGTCAGTGTAAAACTTTAACAACTTGTCTTTCTGTTTCTTTAAGTCATATACGGTGGTAGTTCCCACACCATATTCTTCAGTAAGATGCCGCACAGGTACACCACGATCAAGCTTCTGTAATAACTCCACTTTCTGTGCTATCGATAATGAGAGACGCTTCCTTTTCTTCTCGTTGTAACCCATAGGGGTATCTGAAGCTCTTTTTGGCATTTTCAGTGAAGTTAAACAAAATTACATAAAAATATGAGAGCAGCAGACACAAATGTGTGACTACAGTAGTAGCAACACTGAGACACATGGCGCCTCACTCACCCGCTGCCCGACGTTTGTCAAGCGCCCAAAAGCGTCAGGTCCAAGTCATGTTCGATTTCACAGTACTGTATGTATTACAGTACAGGTATTATTATTATTATTATTATTATTATTATTATTAATTTTATTATTATATTTTATTATTACTATTATTGTTATAATTATTATTTTATTGTGGTGTACAGTATTTTAATTACAATTTTTATTTACTGTACTATGAATAATTATTATTACTATTACATTTTCGCCCACCAGGCCCCGATGTGAGTCAGTGATTTATGCCCGGGTGGGCTAATCCCTGTTTAAAAAAAAAAAAAATTAAAAAAAAAAAAAAAATGCCCTACAAAAAACTTTCGGTTTTTAGAGCTTTTCGGTTTTCACAATTTCAGATAAAAGGTTGTCAACCTGTATTACAATAAAATATAAGTAGTCTTACAGTGTGCTGAAGGGCTGCATCATGCACAGTGAGCGGCCATGACAGGGCACCACGCACTGTGACGTCAGGAATGTACTTAACTCCTTTCTTTTCCTTCTTGCCACCACGAGAGAAGCCCATTAGTGCTGGAAAAAAGTTTGAGTCCTTATTGGTTGATGTATTCCAATAAAAAGTTCCAGAAACTGATTTTTTATACAAACTTATAGAGATATAAACACACATTTCCCATAAATAAAGCTTGTTGTGGAAAATACTGTTTCGAAGTTAAATGAGATATTATCATTTGAGTTAAAATCCAGATGTGGAATGTGTGGTTCACAAACCTCATGACATCAGATTTTGTCATGGAATACTACCATTCAACTCACAATTATAAGACAGAGTTAAGTCAAATTTCTCAAAAATTTTCTACCCTTACTGAAAAGTTTCCATAAATGATGATCTTACACTTTGTTTTAGATAAAACTCACAGAATTTAGTGGAAGTGTCGAGGGCAGTGGAAGACGAGTGGTTGAGGGCTAAATCTTTCAGGTACTCATGTCTTGTACGTGTTGCCATGGCAGCAAACTTCTCTGACCGCAATGCTGCTATTTCACCATTAATAGCTGAAATATGATGAAAATAAAATTATATAAATTGGTACTATTTTTAGATGACTTTAGATAAAAGTTATATTCTAAAAATAAAGAACACACCAGGTATAAAAATCAATATACAGTATACACAATCTGTATACAGTACAGTATATATATATATATATACAGTGACCCCTCGTTTAACGAACACCTCGGTTAACGTAATTTCGATTAACGAACTGCCTTCCATAAGGATCTTCAATTCGGTTAACGAAAAAAAATTCGCTTAACGAACTTCTTACGAACCGACCTCAACATGTTTTCGCTTGCACTGACCGGGCAACCAGCTTTAGTATCAGTCCGCCAATACATTAATCGGTTCTAGGGCTTAAATTCCTTACTATTTTTGTAAATATCAAGAAGTTTATACTATTCAATAATTTTAAAAGTTTAATATTCAATTTTTTAGTCATTTTAACAATTATTGAACAAAATTGAAGGTAAAGTGACTAGTTTAATGCGCGGCATCCAGCCTCTTAACACAGCAAACAGGCGTCAGTCTCTCTCTGTTTTCACTGGAGGTAACATCTTGCTTGAGACTCTCTTCAACTAAACGCTTTTTTTCTGTGTTTCCAAGCAAATTATTGGTCATTTTGAAATATATTTTATATATTGACAATATATAATGCAGTGCAGTGTTGATTTAAAGAAAATAATCTTGAATTAAACCAGAGAGCTAAAATTTTATGGGTGAAATGGCACCATGGGGTGACTTCTCTTCCACCCCAATACCTTCTCTTCTTCCTTCTCCTCCACCCCCATTCTAAATCCCATCATCATCATCATCATCCAGGAGCCTTCTACATACACACCTCAAAGTAAGTGAACTTTCTACCATTTTTGTTGAATTTAGGAAATTTTCGGTGAGCTGGAACCAATTACCCAAAAACCCATTGAAACAATGGTTTCGGTTAACGAACGTTTCGGTTAACGAACGACCTTCTGGAACGGATTGAGTTCGTTAACCGAGACACTATTATTGTTATTGTTATTGTTATATAATAATATATATATATATATATATATATATATATATATATATATATATATATATATATATATATATATATATATATATATATATATATATATATATATATATATATATATATATATATATATATATATATATATATATATATATATATATATATATATATATATATATATATATATACAGTGACCCCTCGTTAGAACTAATCCGTTCCAGAAAGTTGGATTCGTTAGAAAAAATTCGTTAACGAAACCATTGTTTCAATGGGTTTTTGGGTAATGGTTCCAGCTCACAAAAATTTCTAAATTCAACAAAATGGTAGAAAAGTTCACTTACTTTGAGGTGTGTATGTAAGAGGCTCTGGATGATGATGATGATGGGATTTAGAATGGAGTGGAGAAAAAAAGAGAATCAGTGAATAACACATTCACCCATAATTCAGTTGTTAATAACATTATTTGATTTGGATTATTATATATATATATATATATATATATATATATATATATATATATATATATATATATATATATATATATATATATATATATATATATATATATATATATATATATATATATATATATATATATATATATATATACTCACACAGTATTACCCGCCTAACGTGGTTTCACTTACGCGTTTATCATATCATGTGCCTCGCCAAGCTGAACTTTCACTTAACTGCAGTTTTTTCCACATATCGCTGTGAGGTGTGTCCGCTCGAGATGCTATTTTTAGATTTGCCCACCCTGCCTGACTGCCTGTTTTAGCTCATAAATTCATACAAATTACCGGCCAGAATATAATTTACATTGCTGGAATTCTTATAATTTGGTGATCATTTTGAATATAAACATCATATTTTGCATTAAACATACAAATTTTAGATACAAATTTTTCTCCAAATTAACTATGTTATCTTTTGTGCAAAATATATGACATTATATTCAAAATATTCTCGTCTTACAAGGAATCCAGCAATGTCAATTATATTATCTAACTTTAGTTTGAGGTATTATTTATTAAAATTTAGTGGTTATCACACATCTCCTTGGGACGGTTGGTGGGGGTGGGGAGGAGGGACCGACCGACCATCTGTTACCCTGTGAAGAATTTTTTTTTTTATTAACTGAAGATATTTGTTTTAGCTCATAAAATTCATACAAATTACGGGTCTGAATATAATTTACATTGCTGGAATTCTTATAATTTGATGATCATTTTGATATAAACATCATATTTTTGCATTAGACATACAAATTTTAGATAAAAATTTTTCTCAAATTAACTATGTTATCTTTTGTGCAAAATATATGACATTTATATTCAAAATATTCCTGGTCTTACAAGAATCCAGCAATGTCAATTATATTATTCTAACTTTAGTTTGAGGTATTATTTATTAAAATTTAGTGGTTATCACACATCTCCTTGGGGCCGGTTGGTGGGGGGTGAGGAGGAGGGGCCGGACCGACCATCTGTTACCCTGTGAAGAATTATTTTTTTTTATTAACTGAAGATATTTGTTTTAGCTCATAAAATTCATACAAATTACCGGTCTGAATGTAATTTACATTGCTGGAATTCTTATAATTTGATGATCATTTTGAATATAAACATCATATTTTTGCATTAGACATACAAATTTTTAGATAAAAATTTTTCTCAAATTAACTATGTTATCTTTTGTGCAAAATATATGACATTTATATTCAAAATATTCCTAGTCTTCAAGGAATCCAGCAATGTCAATTATATTATCTAACTTTAATCTGAGGTATTATTTAATACTAAATGTTAAAAACCCTGGAAGGATTGGTGGGGTGGGGGGAGGTTGGGACTGACGGCGGTTGGAAGAGGCAAGGTTGAGTCCATTATTTGAATGGACATTAACTTGGCGACTGTATTTCTCTATTTCTCTTAAGTATTAATTGTGTGCATGTACCATCATAAATTAAGATGTTATTTTTACTACAACATAGGTATGTGCCTTCAAAAGTGGAGTTTGGGGGTCGGGCGGTTTCTATTGGAATTAATCCCATGTTCTGTTGTTGTTCATAGCAGGACCCTCTGGGTTCAATTGACGCGTTAAGTGAAATTCTACATTTATATATGCTGATAACCACAAGTAAATCACTGTAGGTGCGCGTGATCTAGGTATATGCTGATAACCACAAGGAAAGAAAAACAGAAGTTCCCAAAAGCTTTACTGTAATTCACATCTTCAGGGGTGAGTACAGACTAGGTTATCAGCATATATATATATGTATGTATGTATGTATGTATGTATGTATGTATATATATATATATATATATATATATATATATATATATATATATATATATATATATATATATATATATATATATATATATATATATATATATATATATATATATATATATATATATATATTTATTTTAGCGGGAGAGAGGGGAGAGAGAAGACGGTGCTGCATTTAGCAGTTAAGGGGTGAGATGCAGTTTCTTAGAAAAAAATTTTTTCGGGGTCAGATGCATGTTTTCTCAGCACATGAGGACAGTGCTGTCTTTTTTAAAGGGGTGTAATATTCAGAAATTTCAGTGTAATTTCAAACGCGGCACATTGGAGACTGAGTTCAAGGTCGTCCGAGGAAGACCGGCGCTCTGCAAATGGCGAGAGTTTGTGAACTAGGCCTATGTGATACTAAAAGTAATTTACCAAATTAATATGGAGGCATTATGAAACTAAATATCAGTCATTAAATTATAAGTAATGGATCGTTTATCAGTCTGAATAATGTTCGGGTGTCCCAAAGTTATTAGTTAGGCGGAAAATATGTCACGTAAGCCTAACCTAACGCCTTTGAAGGACCGCGAGGCTGGCTAGTCCTCAGTCCTGTAGCATCGGACCAACATGATGTCCCTGCGTCCGTCACAGGAAATAGTCCGCGTGGCCTAGTCACCTGTGTTGTGCTATTGCAGTATAACAAGTAAGTCTCATTCGATCTCAGATAGGGTTAGATAGGGCAGTGATAGAGTTATCAAGAGCTAACAGTGAGTTAATTTCAGGGTTCGTCAGAACCCTTGACTGCGAGAATGATGACTGCGAAGATTGACTGCGTTGATGATTGAGGGTTGGCGATTATGCCGTTGGACCGATCAGTGTAGGTCTGTCACTGTTTAGCGGGGTATCAAAGGATCTCTTGAGTGAATCTAGCGTCTGGGTGCCCAGCTAGCGCCGGAGACGATCGTTGAGGTCATCAGCTCTCCTCTACCTCGCTCACAATACCACATATCTCAAGCAGCTTAGTGAAACCCTTTTTGCTAACGGAAGCTAAAGCTTCTCTCAACTGTACAAAGGTCTGATTGGCTCACTCCTTCCGCTTCATGGATGTACTGGGGGTAAAGTGAAGCCAACCGAGTGATCAGGATTGCACACTGGGGCCAAGAGTCAGTAGAGTTTAAGTACACTTTCCAAAGGTGGAGAAAAGCTGATTTGGGCCTTAAACTAAGGGTGCTGTTGGTTTGTACCTAAAACGACTACAGAGTGCAGGTGGAATCTGTGTGTGTGTTAGGTTAGGGGCATGGTTCACGGGTTTAGTGGACTCAGTAACTTCTTAATAATAGTGACAATAATTTTGTGTATAGTTATTAATATTTTCAGTTACTAATGTATGCTGTGTGCATTTAATATTTCTTTATAATCTCGATCTCAGGTATAACCTCTGATCCCCAGATCAGTGTTTAAGTTAGGTTAGGAAGTTTGTATCTGTTGGGGTAATATAATTTTGTTGGCGCCCTGAATGCCTATTCAGGGTGGAGTTAATAAACTCTGATTTTTATACCATTTTCTCATACCATTTTGGTGAATTGCCCTTAGGCCTATTCATGTAGAGTTATTAATTTCTTATTTTTTAATACCATTTCTCAGTGATTGATATTTTCTTGAAAGCCCTTAAGGCCTGGTTCATATTTGCAACAACATTTC